CCCCGCCGCTTGCAGGGGCCCGGCCTGCAGGGAAGAAATGTATACCCCTCAAAAGGGGTTCCATCGAAGACTGAGAGGGCGGGTATTGAGGGTTTGGGAAATACGATTTATTGGACACTCGAGCAGATAAGGGCGAACAGTCTTAAAATGATTGTTGTTGTTGTTGTTGTTGGTGGTGTTGTTATTGTTGGTGTTGTTGTTGTTGGTGGTGTTGTTGTTGTTGGTGTTGTTGGTGTTGTTTGTTGTCGTCGTCCCCCCCGCGACCCACTCACGACCCACCCCGCGACCCCCCCCGCGACCCCCCCGCGACCCCCCCCGCGACCCACTCCGCGACCCACCCGCGACCCAACCCGCGACCCACCCGCGACCCAGCCCGCGACCCACCCGCGACCCACCCGCGGCTCTCCCGCGACCCACCCCGCGACCCACCCGCGACCCACCCCGCGACCCATCCGCAACCCACCCGCGACCCACCTGCGCGACCCACCCCGCGACCCACCCGCGACCCACCCGCGACCCACCCGATCCACATTGGTTCGAAGGGAAAAAAAGGCGCCTGGCCCGTTGCATAATTTGTAAAACTTTGACGCTTGCGGCGGACTTCTCCAGAGTCTCGCAGACTGCCGACCTTCCCACCGCCCCCTCACTCTTATCAGCATCTGCGGGGTGCTACGTCTCTCTCTCTCTCTCTCTCTCTCTCTCTCTCTTTTCTCCATGTGTACATGTTGTGCGTGGGTGTAGAGAGAGAGAGAGGGAGAGAGAGAGAGAGAGGGAGAGAGAGAGAGAAAGAGAGAGGGATATAGGTACAGGTTTACATGTGATTGGGAACAGGACAGAAGGATAGAGACAGAGAGAGATACGGCGAGAGAGAGAGAGAGAGAAAAAAACGAAAGAGAGAGAGAGACATATATATATATATAATGTGTGTGATAGAGCGTTACAGTGATTGTACGTGAAACATTGAAGTGACATAGATAGAGAGTGGGCTGCTAACCCGACGGAGAACATATACGTTCATACATGTGTATCTATACGCATAGGTAGGTCTAGAATTGCGAACGGATCGGCCGTTCAACCATTGACAGGTTCTGGTCGAAGCTCACTGGTCTGACTCCACCGCGACTCTCAACTCGTTTTGTGTGCGTGCTTACACTGCCGATGCCAATGCAGTGCGGATCCATCGAGAACCAAAGCGTGGGCGCTGGCTAGGCAGACAGATGTGCATACACACAGTGATCTACAAATGGTGGCTTTGGTATGTAATCCCACACAACCTCTTGTAATAGGTGGTTTGCCACATTAGTTCTTACACCCCCTTCTTCCCCCCCATGGGTGGCATTACCATTGCTTCTCAATGCTAAACACGCCCTGCTCGCCTCGACCTGCGACCGACCAGGAACAATATCATTCCCAATCATCTCTGTCAAACGCACTACGAAGTGCGTTGCAACATCATCTAATCTCAGGTCGGGCATGCCCCCCTACAGGCGGACTCTGAAGGACAAATGAAAATTAGTAAAACATGCCAAAACAATCATCAATAATAGTAGAACAATCGTCTCCAGACTTTTTATTGTATTCCTCCCCTAGAGGGACGTGCCCAGCTTAAATCTGATCATGTGCGGGTGCCCCGCGGCCACTTTGCACTGATTGCTTCTAACAGGGACGGATGGAGTGCCATCTGACAGAGGTGGTGGGGGAATCGACGTATTACCGACGGATGCCCCAGAAATCCCCCCTCCATCCCTCCCCTCCATCCATCCCCTTGCGTGGGTGGAGGAAGAGGAGGAGGAAGAGGAGTTGGAGGAGGAGGAGGAGGAAGAGGAAGGGGAGGAGAAGGAGGAAAAGGAGGAGGAGGAGGAGCAGAAGGAGGAGGAGGAGGAGGAGGAGGAGGAGGAGGGGCAGGAGGAGGAGGAGGAGCGCGAGAGGATCTCCTCCCCTCCACGATTCACCCACGCGAGAGGAGCAGAGGTGGTGGTGGAGGGGACTAGAACCCCCCCCCTCCATCCCTCCCCTTTCCCCTGTCCGCCGCCCTGGAGCCCCCCCACGCCCCTGCCCTCCCGTGCATTCCCCTCCCTTCCCCACTCTCCCCCTGCGAACCCTTTCCCTCCACTCCGCTTCCCTCCGTTCCTGGTTTTCTCCTTCATTTTCTTCTCCTCCTCCTTGTTCTTTTCCTCCTCCTCCTCCTCCTCCTCCTCCTCCCTCCTCTTCATCTTCCTCCTTTTCCTCCTCCTCCTCCTCCTCCCTCCTCCCTCCTCCTCCTCCTCCTCCTCCTCCCTCCTCCTCCTCCTCCTCCTCCTCCTCCCTCTCCTCCTCCTCCTCCTCCCCTCCTCCTCCTCCTCCTCCTCTTCCTCCTCCTCCTCCTCCTCCCTCGTATCCTTCCGTCCCCTCCTCCTCCTCCCCATCCCCCCCACACCCCTCCGCTCCTCCCTCACGCTCCTCCCCGTGGCTCCGCCCCCCCTCCCCTGGCGCTACGGCCAGCGCAGCTAGGCCCCGAGGC